TTAATATCTTTAATATTAACTTTAATATCTCTCTAGTGTATACCCTGGACATGGTACATATCGCTGGACTTCCAGTTTTATGCCACCACTCCTCTGCTACTGTTTTTCTACAAATTGTATGTTTAACATTTTTTATTATTCACCAAAGATTAAAGGTTAGTGATCGTTAGCATGATTCAATCTTACAATTTTAATCTTGTTTCTTCAGGAACCTACGTGTGTTCACAGTTGTGTCAGGTGCTTTACTGCTGTTGACCACCACTGTTGGTGCTGTTCTGCCCGCTCTTCTGCAGATGCCAGTCTTTAGTCCATTACCAATGTAAGACTCTAAGATCGTGTTTCTTGTCTGATGCGACATTTCATGACATCATTACATCACAGTGATCATAAAAGACCGACATAATGTTCTATAATGCAATACCACTAAAGTCTGTAATTTGGCAATACACTTTTTAATTTTTCTTTTTACAAAATACACAGAAGTACAGTCTCACCTGGTTACAGATAATTAGAGTAAATCACAAACTAGAACCCAAATACAACACAGGCTTTGTCCTTATGGAAATAATGTAAAATAATAATCCACTGTGTTTCAATCTTTAGTATGACATTAACTGTCCCTCGAGGTGAGTGATTTCCAAGTTTTTATACAGAAACCAGCAGATGTGTTATCAAGTGGGAGCAGAATGTTTTGGCACAAACACACATATACACACCCACCAGAGATTGGTAAGGTCCAGACTCAGATTGAGGAAAGCAGAAACAGCTGGACGTCTGAGCAGAGTGCAGGCTGGGACTTTTACTGAACTAGACTATGGGCCTTTGTGTAAAATCCATACATTGCATTGTTTTATATTAAATCTATTTGCAGCGAAAAGAAAGAGGTCTATTATATGTATTACTACTCCAGCCCATTCACAAGGTATGGGCCATTTTTAATTGGGATTATAACTGGAATATATATGACAACTAAGACAGATCGGCTCATCAAACAAAGGGTGAGACTTTTTTTTTTATTTTAACTGAAATCTGACCCCCGTCCTCCCCCAGCCCTTTTGTAACACAAGTTACAAGATTTAACTACATCACATGGTCATGTTCATACTGGTGTTATTTTCTTACTGTTGCTCCAGTGGCAGGCAGCTGTAGGCTGGTTTTGCAGTCTGTCCCTTATGGCACTCTTAGTTGAAATGGCCTACATCCTGAAGGACACTCCATCCTACCCCTCCATACCACATGCCCTCTATCAAGGTCTGCACAGGACACTGTGGACGTGTGCTGTTTCGTGGATCATTGTTGCCTGTGAGGAAGGATATGGAGGTAAATGATCAGTTACAACAAAACAAACCAATTTTTTAAAACAAATTTAAAACATCCAAACAAAATTACCTACACCAGTGTGTAAGGTAAAAAAAAAGAGTGGGTAACATTCACAATGTCACCCATTCTTAGTGGTTACAGAGGGACAACTTTCAAAAATAATTGTCAAAATTACTGAATTAATGGCATCAATTAATTTGTAAGATTAAACAGATTCAATTTAGTTTTGTATTTATATATAAATGTGTATCTCACTCAATCTGTTGTTTTTTTTACTTTGAAGGATTCATCAAGAGCTTTTTGTGCTGTGGTATCTGGATTCCACTTTCCAACATTAGTTTAGCTTGTTATCTTATACATCCACTTTTGATTTTACTCTACAATGGTGCACAAGTAACACCATTCATCTACACAGACCTAAACTTTGTAAGTCTTATGGCATTTGAGTTCAAGCTTCCAGTTATATCAATATCAACATTTGTTATGTCTTTTTTGCTTGATGTTGTTCATGTCTCCTCTCTTTGACAGATGTATCTCTTCTTTGGCTGCGTGGTGTCCACAGTGCTGATCAGCTACTTGCTGACTGTGCTAATTGAGCGGCCTTATTTTTTCAAATTGACCTAGACGTTTATATAGTTCATTTGGGAAATGTGATGGTTGCAGCACGACGAAGGTGTCCACAAATATGGGTATAATATGGGTACAGGTATATAATTTACAAATGAAGACATTGTGTGTTGGAATTATTGAATCATGTTATGGTAAACTTTTCTTAGGGTATTTGGGTAAGCTCATGAAAAACTGACCAGAAATGTCACAATATGAAGTACGCTATAAGTTACATTTCTCTGTTCTCCTGACTTTGATTCAAACTATGTCAAAGCTAAGATATTGAAACATAAGCGGTGTTGTAAATACATAAAGATCATATGGGTTATGTAAGCGGTAAATACATAAAGATCATATGGGTTATTTTTGGTGTCAATGTTTGGCATTTTATTTACACTGTTTCGAATGAAAATGTTGTGCTACAGATAAGTAGAGGAGATACAGGATAAGTTACAATATTAGTGCATACACCATACAATACAATAGAAAAGACCATTACTTAGTATATAATAGACAGTGTAACAATTAATTTTGCATAAATTAATGCACTAAGATCAGTAAGATAATCAGTAGCCCATGCTGTTAATGTAGTATTGAAATAGTTTTAAGTAACTCCAATGAAATAACTCATTATGAACTGAGTTAAATCATGTCAGGTTACTCGTTACAATACCTTTTTCAATTCAATTCAAATACATTTACTGTATGTTTCATTTATTAATAACAGAAATTATTATTTAGTATGTCAATGAATAAAATGGACATGTAATAAAATAAATGATCAAAAGAAAGAACCATAGAAACAGTGTTCCATATGAGAGGTGATTTTGATTTTGTCGTTGTCTTAGTCTTTTAGTCATTAAAAGTGTTTTAATTATAGGTCGGTTTTAGTTTAAAATGTTATCATTGTATTACCTTACAATTAATTATACACATATTTTTCCATGAATGTAAACCAAGACAATCATGGTAGTAAAATGTTGACAAGATGTGGTGCCGACTTTACTGTATTGCTTAGCAAGATTAGCGCATGCAATTGTGCTTCGGTCTGCTTACCTTTCCATTGATCTCTGATTGACAGCTCTGCAGATAACGTTTAAAATGTGTTACGTTCTTTTCTGAAATGCTGGTTCCATAAAATCTGCAGCGTGTTAAAGTCGATATATCTGTTTTAACAGGGAAGTTCTGGTCACACTCTCTAGTCGCTACCGGACACATTTCTGTTCTCTGTTTGAATGTCCCGCCTTCCAGCCAACAAACATAACTCTGATTGGCTGTTACCCTCGTTCGTTTCTCCAATTACACGCCAGAATAGATGGTGGCCGGACTTCGTCAAATTTTCACCTCGTTGTCAAGAGTGTTGTCACCGTTTTTAGCCCCACATTTCTTTCCATTACGTTTTCGTTTTGTTTTTGTAATTTAACGAAAATTACAAGTCGATAACTATTAACACTGCTGTGGGCTACAATTATTTGATATAAATACTTAAATAATAATATAACAAATAATAGTAACAAATAATAAATAAATACTACGATTATTGTAGATATTATCATTACAATGTTTAAAATAGTAGAAAATCTAACACATTCATATTTTAAAACTTTCGATATCCATTGTGCCACAGCAGACCTCATTGTGCTACAGCAGAAAAAAAGAATATGCTAGTAAAACACTAAACAACAAAGAAAATATAATTAACTATATATGTATACACCCCATGCAGGAAAATTTTGATGATTCAAATTGTCACACAATGTCAATGTCAATTTTATTTCTGTCAAATGTGTCATTAGATCCATTTGTTTTGAGCTACTTTTGAACAGGCATTTTGTAGGTGTGCGCATCAACAAAACGTGGTTGTGACGAACACCCATATCCTGCAACAACATTTCTCCACTTGGTTTTTTCCCAGGAGGTTAGGAGGGCGGACAGACGCCAGTCTTGTGCAGACAGAGCATCAACATGGTGTAAAAATATAACTGCTTTGGTAAGACTAGAAGTCTCTCTCCATCTCTCTCTCTCTCTCTCTCTGACTGCATGGGTCCACAGGGGCCACTGCCAATCCTAAATCCTCACAACAACATGCTTGAGATGGTGTAACATGTGCAAGACTTTAAGACCAAAACATTTGATTGAAGATGAACATTTCCAGGCCACTGTTATAGAACAATTTACGTACACATGTTTACACCAGACATTAGGTTTTACAAGAGGTTTTTATTATTCAACTGTTGTTTCTGACTGGAACATGTCTAACCAATCACAACGCAGCAGGAGGATCGTTAACATTAAATGAAACAAAATGTTGACACCAGTAATACATCAATGATCTTTACTTTAACAGCCCTAAAGACATTTTTCCAAAAAAATAGCTGATAGCATACTTTTCAGTAATGGCTGCAGTTTATTTTGATGTAGAAAAGTCATAGCACCTACATGTGTTTTTGTCTTCTTTTTTGTTTATTTACAAAGTGCATCTGGATCAGGTTGGTTAATACATTTACAGTATGTAATTAATACATATCAATGATAGAAAGATTATAAAAAATAGTTTTTGGGAATTAAATATAATTCATTAAAATAAGAAAAAAATACTTTCTGGCCATAAATAATTAAGTTTTCTTGTTCTTTCTATGTCCTTTTTTTAATTAGCTTCTCTTTAGAGCAAAGTAACATCTTAAAAAATTAATTAGCAATAGATAAACATTTATGTCTCAACCACTGCCACAAAAAAAAATGAAAATAAATTTATTTTTGCTTAAGGCAAGGCAATGAAATTCTGCACTTTTAACCTATCGCAATTACATCTGTTCTCTGCAGAGACCTGAAGTGTTTTACTTACGAGAGGCAACACAGATAAAATCGCACACAGATTTTATTTTTTTTCTATAACGTCATCATAACAAAGTCTAAACCAACAGCTGTGTGGTGAGTCAAGTGACAAATACAATAAGTAAAGGAGCTTAACTAACTTCCCTTAATGTATTTTTAAAACGTACACAGGCCTTTTTTCATAACAAGACAGCAGCAGTCCCTGCGGTCTTGTCATGACAGCTCCCTCAGACATGCAATAATCCAATAATATTACCTCTGTTGCTTAGTAGATTTACCAGGCACCACACAAACAGGTGGACAGACGCACGTGTTATGTAATGGCACAACAACCGCTAAAGGACATGACATAATTTTAATGGTGTGTGGCCTCATCCTGTTCTGCTGTTTGTGGTCCTCTTACGTCAAACTCTGCGTCTCTGTGACAGTGGTGAGAAAGTAATAAAATAAAAAATTTCCATCAAACATACAGACAACATAAAAAGAAAATTCTAAAATGCTAGAATAATAATAAAAAACTGATTACATTTAAACACCAATCATTTTTGTCATTGATTCTCCTCATTCAAACCTTAGCATACAGTAATGGACATCCTGCTGTAAGCTGATCCTGACCCTCCCCCTATGCCTTAGTTTTTGGACTTTAAGTCCCTTTTGACATCTCTAGAGTTTTCTTTCTTACAGTACTTTCATTATTGTAAATATTTCCTCCCAAAACAACCCGACTACTTGCTTTAAAAAAAAAAACATAATCAAGAAAAACCCTCCAGAGCAAGCGCAGAATTATTGCATATTAACACACCATCATATGCTTCTGTATGAGTCAGTGTTTCTGGAGAAAGTCCTGCACTCATAAATCATAAAACAACAAACTAGCAAATAATGTGAAATATTAAACTTTACAATTAGTTGGGATCAGTTATTTATTATATTTTTTAATTTAATTTAATTTAATTTAATTTAATTTAATTTAATTTAATTTAATTTAATTTAATTTAATTTAATTTAATTTAATTTAATTTAATTTAATTTAATTTAATTTAATTTAATTTAATTTAATTTAATTTAATTTAATTTAATTTAATTTAATTTAATTTAATTTAATTCTGACCAGAAAAAATATCTACACTGATTTTACAACCTCAAATTAAGGGACACCATCACAGTAAAGGTCCTCAAATATAGAAATTTGAGTGTTAAATATTCCAGATCGGCATATGCCCTCAATATCAGGTAACTGACTTTATACTTGTAGGGGACAACAGTTAAAAATAGCCTCACACCCCAAGACTGCAGCTCTGCCTGAGCGCATACTCAAGTCCTACCTCATAGGTCTGTATCCTCAACTACTCGGCAATGAAAAAGGTACGTAGCACTTGCACGGCTGGAAATCACCGGCAGAACTGGGCAACTGTTTTAAAACCTTAGTTATTGTTTTACTTACTTTGATGTTGAAGTCTTCTGTGAGGTTGTTTATTTCTGTGTTTTTTGGTGTGGTTTTTTTTTTTTTGGAACTCCACTGTTGACAGAGTGAAATTCCTACTCATACGGCTGAACTCCCCATTTGCCTGTCCATGCTGATGTTTAAAAAAGTTATACTTAAACCTGTATTATTTTCTTAACTATTTTTTGGTGTCACGTTTCAAGCTGTTCACATTTACACAAAGGATTAGCTCCAGTAAATGTCCTGCGTGTAATCATTTCACCAACAAATGCTTTAAAGACGCAGTAGGCTCCGGGGAGGATTGTGAGACCGGAGGTTTGTGTCTATTTTGGCCAAGGCACTTTAAACAAAATCACTTTCTTGATCTCAGACATACAAGCGCTGACAGGTTTATTGTTTTTTTTTTAATGATGGAACATTGCTTTAAGCTAATTATAGAGCTTTACAAATATAGTGCAAGCCATAATACAGAAATGATAGATAGGATAAATAACTGGGATAGAGTTTTTACATATCAAGAATATTTTTCTTCAACTTTAGTTTATTTACTTCAATGAGGTTTAATTTGAATATATATACATATGTGTGTGTGTGTGTGTGTGTGTGTGTATGTATATATATATAAGTTCTGTGTGCAGATGGAGCTGTTTGTCAACAGCCAAAGGTCTGGCTCTTAGCTTCATGATAAACATCTCTGGGCCTGAGGGCTCAGCTTGGTGTCCTTCATTGCAGAAGGAATGTAACAAATGCAGGTCATGGGTGAAGAAGTGCTGGTATTTTTCCAGTGTCTCTGCCACCAGCTTCACTCCTGCAGTCTTACTTATCAGGATGCGTGTTTTGGACCCTCTCCATTCAACACTTCATATCAGGCATCTGCACGTACAGCGTGTCGAGACGCATGCACTACGAGAGGAAAACAAATTAATATCCCCTTACCGTAGCGTCTTGTGATGGGTTGCGTCGCTGGTCACCTTAAGTTTTCCCGTGTAAATGCTGCCATGACGCAGGTAAATAATATTAAATATCACTGGGTGGCTGATGTCACACAGCACGTGGGTCATGTCAGGCCTAACCACAGACTGTGACTAAACGTTCACAAATACCCAAGAACAAACTTAGACTTTGTACTTGTGAAATTTGTGGTATAATTTTTTCCCCTTGCTTTCATGCAAAGAAGTACAAGTATATTAGAAAATAATCATATTTAATGATATATTGGTTCAAAAAACATCATGGACACAAAGTGTGTGCATTTTTTCTATACATATATTGGTTCAAAAAACATACATCATAGACACAAAGTGTGTGCATTTTTTCTATACTTTCAAAATTCATCAGGCGGGCTTAGCAGGTTGATTTTGGCCCCCCGGGCCTTATGTTTGACACCCATGCTCTAAACAGTTCCCAGTGTTTTTATTTCCTGGACAAACTAGTTTTGAAGCAAGTGTCTGTAGCCCACACAGACGAGTTCACTTCTGGGAAACTTGTCACGTTTCCTTTTGCGTTTAGCAAACAAACGGTCCGTCCGTTCCTGTTGTAAGACCTGAGCTGCTCAACAGTAGATGGTAACTATTCTCGGATTCTTCTCTTCATGACATGTCAGACCTTTAAACAAGACACAGATATGGACTTCAGAGAGTGTGGTGAAGCACACAGTGACATGAAGTCACATATTCATTATTTGTGCAGATGGAAATAATAAGTGAAGCCTGGTGGTTCTGTATACACTGAGGTGTTCCACCATATTAAATGATTCAAATGGGTTTTTTTTCCACAGTCAATTGTTTTTAAATGGCCAAATAAATTCAACAAACAATGAATGCTTTTAAATTCAACCGGTTTCCAGCTAAACTGCTGAATGAGAAAAAAATTCCACAGTAAATTGTTTTTAAATGGCCATTTCTATTTTCCCTCTGTCTTTTAAAGTGTGTAGTACGCATTAATTTCTATGTTTGTGTTGAAATGATCCCTTCACAGGTTTATTAGATTCACATACACTATATGCTTTTGCAGCAAAATACTCGAATGTTCTTTCTGCACATGTACTCATTTAAAGTAAAACTTTAATGACCCTCGTTCTAATCCTAACTCCAAACTGAGTCTTAAATCATAATATACTTTCTCACTCAGTGGGACCTGCAAAATGTCCCCACAAGGACAATGTGTTTTTGCAAGTAAAGCCATATGAGACTCACACACACAGACACACACAGACACACACAGGCCCGATGTTTTCATCAGCTGAGAATGAACCACAGGAAGGTCCCCTGTAGATAATGGTATGTCAAGTGCCTTTAAAAGCTTCTTAAATATACCGTCTGCAGAAGCATCACCATGAGATGAGATAATAGTATCAGACAAAAACCACCAGAAGGAGACAGAAGGTCAAAACCTGCAGGTCAAAAGGTTAAAACTAGGTTAACTGGACATTTGTGGCTCTGTGTTCAAGGTTCAAAGGTTTTAATTTTGTGTTTTACTGTCTTTTCCACACAGATCCTTACAGTTGACACACTCAGGATTTAAGGAGAAGAAACTTAACCAGTAAAAACATGAAACAAAAAACTATTCAGTCTCTGCAGAGAAATGTGTGCATTGATGTGGATATAAACATGTATATTTGTAATTTGTAATTCAACCAAAAGCGCCAATGGATTTGTCATTTCTTTGCCCGGGTGACCAAAATCAGACAACATCTCCCACAGACACAGAGAGTCCGTCTGTCCTACACAGTTCTAAGACTGCTGCCGATCTCTCCGACCACGGTGACGAATCACAGGAGGCTGTAAACTACAGTCCCACATGTCAGCACTCTCATGAGATAAGAATGGACTCGGAAGGCTTTACATTTCCCTCATCCAACTTTAGCGTGACAGATGATTCAGTGCTTTGCTCAGAGCCGGGAACAAGGGATAAACACCAGGTCCATACCCTTTCTGGCACAGCAGAACCGGTATTACCTCATGTACCCCACCAGAACCCTATGTCACCACACTGTGAAACTTTGTTTGAAATCACAGGAGTGCCTTCTTTTACCACTCATTCATCCCTTCAGCTTTGTCAGGCTGCAACATGTACATCTGAGGATTTCGTGGCGCGATCATCATCACCTCAGTCCATAAGCTCGGAGAGCGATACAGCTCTGGCACCCGAGATCGAGTCAGATCTTTACATCACTGAACCTGAGACATACGACTTCACCCTCGTCCCTAATGTTAGTCCCTATGGAAGGAAAGATCCCGACTTCCCGTCAATATTCCAGACAGAAAAAACAGGGACAAGCTATTGCTGTGATACCAATGTCCAAATGTGTGATTCTGACACACTGACTCAGAGTGGTCAGAGCTCTACTAAGAAGCGAACTGCAGTCATCTGTGAGTCAGACACGAGACAATACGCACGGCCAAGACCACCTGTCGCAAATCCCTCTCAGAGTTTTGTGTCATTAAATGATGAGAGAGAAGAACCGGCAGGGGTCAGTGCCCTAAACCCCCAAGCAAGGCAAAGCGACAGCCCTGTCGAGCTGTGGTTGGACGCTTGTCAGTATCTGGGAGGGGAGGATGCAGAGGACCTGGATGTTTTGGAGCTGAAAAGTCATTCTATGACGCAAGAAGAAGTCTTAGTCACCAGTGACTTATCGTTTCTACAGGGAGGGACACAGGAGTCAGGTTACGACACCGAAGATATAGAGGGGATTGGCTGGTCTTGTGAAGAAACCAGAGGCCAGGGCCCACCGGTTGAAAGGTGGTCCTCTGTGGACAGCTGGGCCACCGCACTCTCAGACTGGCCTGTGAATGTTGCAGTTTCACCAGAGGACATAACACCAGTCTTTGCAGAGATTGGAGCTGAGATAGAAGCTTTGACACAGGCGTTAGCAGACGTGCCTACTGATACAGACAGAGAAATATCACGAACAAAAAATAAACAAACAGAGCTGCAGGCACGTCCACACTCAAACATGGGCAACCAGGATCAGCCTCTAGACGCGCAAAGTATCCCAGAGACCTCCGTCCTCTCTGAGCAGGCCTTTTTTTCTTCATACCTTGAGGTCCCAGGATCTGAGCTTCAAGAAGCTGGGGGCTCCCAGAGTATGGAATCTTTGTGTGATTTCACTGCCACTAGACATGGACAAAATGTGGGAGAAGAAATTCTAATCAGGCAGTCTGAGTCCCTGATATACCCCATAAAACTACACTCCTCTGATGCTACTACAGTAGTCTCACCTGAAGCGTATGGCGTGGAGATGTCTGCAGTTATTGAGATCCCCAAATCTACATCCTCTGCTGATTTGAAGTTTTCCCAGTTTGGTGTACACGTGAATGTGGAGAGAGAGGTTTTCATGAGCAACATCGAGCCGATCATACTGAACATTACAGAAGATTCTGACCTAGAAGAACGAGGTGCACCT